AATCTCCTGCAAGTCTTTGCTCAAATATAATTTTCTCAGGCTGGGTCTTTCCGACCACTTTGCTTAAAACCATTAACTTCCCCAACCCACTCTCGGGTACTTTCTGTCTCTTTCTCGGCTTTATTTTTCTTCACAGGACTAATCACCTTCTAAATTCCTTATAATTTACTTTGCCTAGCAGGTAACAGATGCTCCAAAATCTTTGTTGAATGACTGAACGGAAGGCAGTTATGTTATTGTTAGCATCATCATCATTGTTGTCAATCTGCAGCCCCCAGTTCTGTGCTGCCTGATTCTTACCAAATACTGATGGGCAGCAGTGATGTTGAGACCAGGCTGCCTGAAGAGCAGGTCATCTGTCCATCCACCTCCCTGAGAGTAGAGATTGTGTCTTTAGATCTGGCTGCAGATTTGCAGATGAGAGTGGTTGCCTGGGACCCAGTAGAGAGGTCTGGGCACTGAGGGGAAATGGAATTTGAAGGCCAAAGAGATGATTCTCTGTGGCCACGCTTGATGGGGAGGGAGAGGAGCTGCTGCCTCCATGGAAATGGGCCACCCTGGCCTGGCCAGGAAATGAGCCAGAGCCACAGGGGAACAAAATACAGTGGAGGACCAACACCCAGTGTGATGCTAACTACTGCAGAGCGAGGCGGCTGATACGTAAGCATCCTCTCCGTGAGGTACCCATAGCCTCTCTTCCATCGGAAGGACTCTGAGCCACTTCTAAGGATAGGTAAGGAAGGTGCTCTGAAGAGTAAGTGAGCCTGGAGTTCCCACAGATCCTGGAGACTGAGAGCTTACACCAGCCTGGATGTGATTCTGGGGGAAAAAAAGAAACAAACAAACTTTGTACCTAGAATGCTGGAGGTCAGTTTTTACCTCCTACGCATAGCAATGTCTGGCAGATAAAAACTGTTCACTAACTTTTAGTTCTCATTTACTCTTCACTGGCTCAGTAAATATTTACTGAACTCTCACTATGTGGCAGGGCACTGTCCTGAGGATATAGCTGTACTGAGAATCTAAGATCTCCATCCTTGTGGAGTTTATATTCTAGCCTACGTGTGTGGCAGGGGACAGATGACACAGTGAGTTAATAGAAAATATTGAACAGGGGCGCCTGGGTGGCTCAGATGGTTAAGCGTCTGCCTTCGGCTCAGGTCATGATCCCAGCGTCCTGGGATCGAGTCCCGCATCGGGCTCCCTGCTCCTTGGGAGCCTGCTTCTCCCTCTGCCTCTCTCTCTCTCTCTCTGTGTCTCTCATGAAAAAAAAAAAAAAAAAAGAAAGAAAATATTGAACAACAAGTATAAGAGGTGATGGTTGTATTAATTAGCTTAACTGCGTGATGTACATGTCGTATACCTTAAATATATGGAATTTTATCTGTCAATATACCACAATAAAACTGGAAAAAAATAATTTTTTTTATTTTCATAAAATACATTGAATGTTAGAAAGTGATAAACACTAAGGAGGAAAATCAAGGAGAGAAGGGAGGGTGGGAAGTGTCAGATGGGAGAAGGTTCTAGTTGGGGTTGGGGTGGTGGCCCAAGGCACACTGAATAGGGCCTGTGTGTGAGTGGTGAGGCAGTGAACCGTGTAGAAGGAACATCCTGGCAGAGAAGCCAACAAGGATAAAGGCTTGAAGCAGCACCAGCTGGAGCCAGCTCACAGGGGTGTACCAGAGACCATCAGTAATGAGGAATTTTGCAAGCCAGTTGTTAAACTTTGATTGTTTGAAATTGGCTGGGCCACCATGGGACTATTTGACCGCAGATATAGGCAAACACTGTGAGACAGGATCTTTTTTGCTGTTCTCAGAGATTCACTTTACCAGCAGCAGGGAGAACAAAGGGCAGGCAGACCAGTGCAGTGTGGCTGGAGCAGAGCTAGGAGGTGGGAAGGAGCGGAGAGCCAGGAAATCATGTGGGGCCTTGCAGACTGCTCTTGGAACATTGGCTTGAACTGTGAGCCAGATAGTGGGCCACAGGAGGCTTACCAAAAAAAAAAAAAAAGTTTAGGTTTAATTTTACATACCATAAATTCATTCAGATATGCCATGATCATCATCGTTATTATTATTATCAGTAGTAGTAATACATTTACAGATTTGTGCAGCCATGACCACAGTCCAAATTTAAAACATTTCTATCACCTCAAAGAGAGCCTTTGTGTCCGTCCATTTGCAGTCATTCCCTGTTCACATACCCAGCCCCAGGCAACTACTCATCTACTTTCTGTCTCTCTGCATTGGAGGATTTGGAGGAGAGAAGGAACATGGTTAGCTTATGTCATTGTTACTATTGTATCCTTTCCGATAAAACATAATGAAATTCCTGTTCTCTCTTCAGATGAGGTGGTGACCTGAATTTTCAGGTAAGACGTCCACCAGAGCCACTGTGAGAGCTGGGACAGTAGTTGGTGGGGCCGCCCTCACTGGCTCCAAGCGTGCTGGCCAGTTGAAGCCACCGTGTCCTCTGCTGGCTTCGGGCTCTGCTCTCTCTTGGCTGCATTTGGGGCCAAAGTTCCAGGTGGGAGGCCAAGTCAGCAAATTGCCCTTTCCAGTGTCCTGGAGGAACTTGAATATTTAAGGCCTGCATTCAGCTGAAACAGAACATTGAAGCCCTTTTGCATTTTCTGGGTTCAAAAGCAAGGTAATGTAGAGAGAAATCTTTTCAAGGACAGGTATCAGCTGCCTCTGAGACCTTTGCTGCTTCAACCAAGAAGGGGCATGCCTGAAATGGCCTTGGGTTAGCAGGGAGGCCAGGGGATTCTAATTATCAGCTGTCAAGGGGCAGCGGAATTGAGGGGAGGGAGGCAGAGGAAAAGGCTTGGGGCAGAGTTGAGGGGAGGGGGGGAGTGGGGAAGGGTCAGAGAAGGGGAGTCAGAGGCCCCAGAGCTGGTAGCTACAACAGAGGCCGGGGCCTAGGCATTTCTGGGAAGTGAGACCTGCAAGTCGCTTGTCCTCTTAAAACCTGACTTTCTTTATCTGTAAAACAGAAAATAGCGTTTAAATCATAGAACTGTTCTAAGGATTTAAGGAAATAACATCTACAAAGCTTGGTACACATTAAGCCTTCTGTAGATGGCGATTATTTTTGTTTTTCTCGTTATTGCAACACATTATTATTGTTTTTTACTGTCTTAGTCTGTTTGGGCAGCTGCGGTTTAAACAACATTTATTTCTCACAGTTCTAGGGATCGGGAATTCCAAGATCAAATTGCGGCAGGCAGATTCGTGTCTGCTGAGAGCCCGCTTCTGGTTCATAGACGCCATCTTTTTGCTCTGTCCTCACCATGCAAAAGGAGCAAGCCAGCTCTCTGAGGTCTCAGGACCTAATCACCTCCCAAAGGCCCCCACCTCCTGCTACGATCACACTGGGGGTTAGGATTTAATAAAAAAATCTGGGGGAAGCTCAAACTTTTAATCTCTGGCAGTTACAGTACCATATCCTGTTGTTATTATTATGACCAAGAGGAATTTGGTGGAAAGAACCTGCATCTGCTTCTCAGTGCTCTTTAAACAAAGCGCACACAACTCCCTCGGGCTCCTGTTGAAGTGCAGAGTCTAATTCCACGTGTCTAGGGTGGGGTCTGGGGTTCTGCAGGTGTCACAAGCTCCCAGGTGATGCTGATGCTGCCGTCCCATAGACCAGACTTTGAATAGCAGGACACTGAGACTGCCCTGTCCAATATGGTAGCCACTAGCCGCCTATGGCTGTTGAGCCCTTGGTATGTGGCTACTCCAAACTGAGGTGGGCACGTAAGTGTGAAATAAATGTTGGATTGTGAAGACTTAGTACAAAAAAAAAAATAAATAAATAAAATCTCTCTTTAGTAATTTCTTTTTACATTGATTACATGTTGAAATTGTAGGATATAGCCGGTGCTGACCAAGAAAAGAGGTAAAGCTAAAATAAAAAGAAAACTTTTATTTGGGGTCTCAGAATTGCCATTCAGAGAACACAGATTTGGGCAGCAACCCAAATAGGGCCACCCACCCCCACCCCCTACTCCAGGGAACAAAAGGCAAGGTTTGTTTTGTTTTAAGAGAGAGGGGAAGTGGTCAGGAGAAGGAGAAAGAGAATCTTAAGCAGGCTTTACACCCAGCATGGAGCCACTGTGGGGTGGGGGGGGGCACCAAGGCAGGGCTTGATCTCATGACCCTGAGATCATGACCCCGAGATCATGACCTGAACTGGAATCAAGAGTCGGACGCTTAACCGATGGAGCCTCACAGGTGCCCCAAAAAGCATGGGTTTTTAAAGACAAAAGGGAATGTTTGTATATGTTGCTTACAAAGAATTTTGATTGATGTTGGTGGCAGAAAACTAGTCTTGACTGAATATAATTGATTGCTAAGGCTATCACTAAACAGTCTCCTACTGTAGCAAGTTGCAGGTATTCAGGTTGAGTCCTTGGAGTATCTGTGGTTTGGCACAGTTCAAAAGTTCATGGTTCTACTGGTGAGGAGGCCCACCTCCTTCATGGCTCATTTTAAAACCCCTTGACATATATGACCCCATTTTATTTCATCTTTCATACTGGCTAAGTAAAATATTATTTTAATTCATTTCACCTGTTTCTTTTAAATTTTTTTTAATGAAGCTACTAGAAAATTGTACATTACAGGTGTGGCTCACATTACATTTCCATTGGATAGTGTTGCCCTAGAGCTTTCTTTGGCTTTGTCAGGCCAGTTCAGGATTTACCTTGGGAAAGTGGGCTTGGGAAGCCTTGAGAAGAGGGCTCTGAGTTATTGACCTCAGGCCCACAGAGATCCATAGGCAGTGAGAGGTGGAAGGGATGGCTCTCAGGCTCAGAGAGAAGAAATGATCAAAATCACACGGTGGATTTAAGACTAAGGCCCAAGACTATGTTTACAAGTCAGTGTGTACTGTAGTCACCACTGGGGCTGACTACAGGTTTCTCCTCCAGCTCAGTCTCTCCACAGAACCCAGAATTCAGGATCGTGTTCTCTCTCTTCTCTTTGGTGACAGGCTGCAGACAATAACATGATGCCATGGCTAAGAAGTTGGGTCCTCAAGGCACTGAGAAATGCCCGGGGATTCTGTGGGCCTCACAGGCAGCAACCACCTCTCCCTGACCCTCAGAAAATTGTGGCCACCTGGGAAGCCATCAGCCTGGGGGGGCAGCCAGTGCCTGAGTACTTCAACTTTGCCCATGATGTGCTGGACATGTGGAGTCAGCTGGAAAAGGTAAAGCCCACTGTGTCCTAGTGTCCCTCTTGGGCCTTAGAGGCTGCCCTCAATTACTGCAGCATGACTAAAGGCTACAACACAGGTGGACATTTTCACCTGGGAATTTCGCAAGTCCTAAAACTTAAATGGTTAGCATTTAAGCCTGAGGGAGAAAAAAGAATTATGACCAAGTTTCGTGAGCCTTAGACACTTAGCCCAATCCCTGATGTGTCTCATATTCCTGAACACAAATCACATAGTTGAGACAGTTATGCCCCCTTTGATTCCCTTCCCATTGTTCTGATCAAGCAAAAGAGAAAATTCTGTTTTGATTCTACTCTTCATTAATATTTCTCCCACTGTTGTGTACTTATCTTTTTTTCTGAGAGAGAGAGCACAGAGGTGAGGGGCAGAGAGAGAGGGAGAGAGAGAATCTTTTTTTTTTTAAAGATTTTATTTATTTATTTATTTGAGAGAGAGAATGAGATAGAGAGCATGAGAGGGGGGAGGGTCAGAGGGAGAAGCAGACTCCCTGCTGAGCAGGGAGCCTGACGCAGGACTCGATCCCGGGGCTCCAGGATCATGATCTGAGCCGAAGGCAGTCGCCCAACCAACTGAGCCACCCAGGCGCCCGAGAGAGAGAATCTTAAGTAGGCTCCACACCCCATGCGGAGCCCACATGGGGCTCGATCTCACGACCCTGAGATCATGACCTGAGCCAAAATCAAGAGTCGGACACCTAACTGACTGAGCCACCCAGGTGTCCCTGGACTTCCATTTTAAATAAGGAGAGAGCATGGCTGAGGCTCAAAGCTTTTTACAGATCACAGCAGATATGTAGAATTGAATTAAAATTATCTTGATTTCTTTGTGTGTCTCTGAGCATATACTTCCTTCTTTTTTTTCTCTTCTTTAGGTGTCTGCTGTGTCTCTCTGTGTATTTTATAGTCACTTTTTATTTATGTTAAAGATGCTAACCTTTTATTTTATAGTAGGAGACTATAAACTTTATCTCAACACAATTTACTTATGTTAATTTTTTTTTTTTTAAGATTTTATTCATTTATTTGAGAGAGAGAGAATGAGAGCCAGAGAGTACGAGAGGGAAGAGCATCAGAGGGAGAAGCAGACTCCCTGCTGAGCAGGAAGCCCGATGCGGGACTCGATCCCGGGACTCCAGGATCATGACCTGAGCCGAAGGCAGTCGCTCAACCAACTGAGCCACCCAGGTGCCCTACTTATGTTAATTTTAAGAAGAGCTTGTGTAAAGAAAAACAATGAGGAAAATAATATTGTTAGTAGATTCAGTAAAAGTATACTGTTAGTGGATATAGTAAAGTGTGAAGGTGGCTTTGTAGTCAGATAGACATGGTTCCTTGTACAAATGCCCTAAGCTCTTTGGATCTCAGTTTTCTCATCTATAAAATGGAAGTCATACTATCTGCCACCTGGAGTTGTTGTGAGAATAAAATGAGAAGTGTATGTAAGAGATGGAGCTGGGGTGCCGCATTCCTGTCTACAAAATCTGAGCTCTTTTTCCACACTGGGATCGTCCTTGGAGGACTTCTACTAAAGATAAATACAAATAGGGTTATATCAGCAAAAATGGTGGAATAAGGACTTTCTAAAATTTTATCTTCTCTAAAAACAACAACAATAAAAAACCTTGGAAAAATTGCCAGAATGTACTTCTTAGAACTCTAGAAACTAACCAAAGGCTGGAATAGCTCAGGGACTATTTATTAAAGAAGCACTCATTAAAGATTTGGGTGAATCTCAGAATGCTCCTGAGATATTACCTTGTTATGTAAAAGTAACGTATCCCTTAGTGACAATTTTGGGAAAAGTCTAAAACACATCTGAGGAAGTTCAACTCTCAGGAAACAGTAACCAGCAGAAAATATTAGCCTCTCCATTATGTATGCATTTAGCAGCTTACTGAAGTCTGCCCTTGACAAAGTTGAACTGTACATTTTTTAGACTTGATTGCCATTGAAGCAGAAATTATAAAGTTGCAAAAAAATGATTACATATCCCAAATTGATCTAGATACTCAAAGTAATCTTTACTAAAATCCCAGTAGACTTCTTTGCAGAAATAGATAATCTTGTCCAAAGTTTCACATGGAAAGGCAAAGGACCCATAATAACCACAGCAGTCTTGATAAAGAAACACAACAGGACTCACACTTCCCTATTTCAAAACCTACTACTAAGTGACAGTAATAAAGACTGTATGAGAAAAAAAAGGCACTGTGACACTGGTAAAAACACAGATATGGATGAATGGGATAAAATTGAGAGTCCAGAAATAAACCCATAAATCTATGGTCAGTTGGTTTTCAACAAAGGTGTCAGTAAATTCAAGGGGGAAAGAATCATCTTTCCAGGGCACCTGGGTGGCTGAGTTGGTTAAGCAACTGCCTTCGGCTCGGGTCATGATCCTGGAGTCCTGGGATCGAGTCCCACATCGGGCTCCCGGCTCAGTGGGGAGCCTGCTTCTCCCTCTGACCCTCTCCCCTCTCATGCTGTTTCTCTCTCACTCACTCTCAAATAAATAAATAAATAAATAAATAAATAAATAAATAAATAATAAAATCTTTAAAAAAACCTCATCTTTCCAGCTAGTGGTGCTGGCACATATTATATGATTCCATTCATATGAAATATCCAGAATAGGTAAATCCATAGAGACAAAAAGTAGATTAGTGGTTGCCAAGGGCTAGGGAGAGGGGGGAATAGGGAGTGCCTGCTAATCTGTATGGTATTTCTTTTTAGGATAATGAAAATGTTCTGGAATTAGGTTGTGGCAATGATTATACCACTTTGTGAATATACTAAAAACCATTGAATTGACCTTAAGGGTTCCCCATTGAGAATGATATTCACTGTGGGCTTTTCATAGATGGCTTTTACGATATTGAGGTATGTTCCTTCTATCCCTATACTCTGAAGAGTTTTAATCAAGAAAGGATGATGTATTTTGTCAAATGCTTTTTCTGCATCGATTGAGAGGACCATATGGTTCTTGTCTTGTCTTTTATTAATGTGATCAATCACATTGATTGATTTGCGAATATTGAACCATCCTTGCATCCCATGAATAAATCCCACCTGGTCGTGATGGATAATCCTTTTAATGGACTGTTGGATCCTATTGGCTAGGATCTTGTTGAGTATTTTGGCATCCATGTTCATCAGGGATATTGGTCTGTAATTTTCCTTTTTGATGGGGTCTTTGCCTGTTTTTGGGATCATGGTAATGCTGGCTTCATAGAACAAGTTTGGAAGTTTTCCTTCATTTCTATTTTTTGAAATAGCTTCAGTAGAATAGGTATTACTTCTTCTTTAAATGTTTGGTAGAATTCCCCAGGGAATCCATCAGGCCCTGGACTCTTGTTTTTTGGGAGGTTTTTGATTACTGCTTCAATTTCGTTACTGGTTATTGGTCTATTCAGATTGTCTATTTCTTCCTGTTTCAGTCTTGGGAGTTTATAATTTTCCAGGAAGGCATCCATTTCTTCCAGGTTGCTTAATTTGTTGGCATATAGTTGCTGGTAATAATTTCTAATAACTGTTTCTATCTCCTTGGTGTTAGTCGTGATCTCTCCCCTTTCATTCATGATTTTGTTGATTTGGGTCCTTTCCCTTTTCTTTTGAATAAGTCTGGCTAGAGGTTTATCGATCTTATTGATTCTTTCAAAGAACCAACTTCTAGTTTTGTTGATTTGTTCTGTTTTTCTGGTTTTTATTTCATTGATATCTGCTCTAATCTTTATTATTTCTCTTCTCCTGCTCGGTTTAGGCTTTATTTGCTGTTCTTTCTCCAGCTATTTTAGGTGTAAGGTTAGCTTGTGCATTTGGGATTTTTCTACTTTTTTTGAGAGAGGCTTGGATGGCTATGTATTTCCCCCCTAGGACAGCCTTTGCATATCCCATAGATTTTGGACCAATGTGTTTTCATTCTCATTAGTTTCCATGAATTGTTTAAGTTCTTTAATTTCCTGGTTGACCCAGTCATTCTTTAGCAGGATGCTCTTTAACTTCTAAGTGTTTGAATTCCTTCCAAATTTTTCTTGTGATTGAGTTCCAGTTTCAAAGCATTGTGGTCTGATAACATGCGGGAATAATCTCAATCTTTTGATATCTGCTGAGATCTGATTTGTAATTCAGTATGTGGTCCATTCTGGAGAAAGTTCCATGTGCACTCAAGAAGAATGAGTATTCTCTTGTTTTAGGATGGAATGTTCTCTATATATCTACAAAGTCCATCTGGTCCAATGTGTCATTCAAAGCTCTTTTCTTTGTTGATCTTTTGCTTGGATGATCTGTCCATTGCTGAGAGTGGAGTGTTGAGGTCTCCTACTATTAATGTATTATTATCAATATGTTTCTTTATTTTGGTTATTAATTGGTTTATATAATTGGCTGCTCCCATGTTGGGGGCATAGATATTTATAATTGTTAGATCTTGTATCATTGAACACTACATCAAAAACTAATGATGTACTATATGTTGGCTAACAGAACATAATAAAAAAATTAAAAAAATAAAGCAAAAAAACCCATTGTAAGTTGAAAATATCGTAATTGGAAAATGCATTTAATATACCTAACCTACTGAGCATCATAGCATAGCCTCTCCTACCTTCAGCATGCTCAGAACACTTACGTTAGTTAGATGGCAAAACTATCTAACACAAAGGCTACTTTATAATAAAGTGCTAAATATCTCAAAAAAACCCCATTAAATTGTGCACTTCAGAATAGTGAATTTTATGGTATGAGATTTATATCTCAAGAAGAGAGGATACAGAACAGTATGAATCATATGCTACCTTTTGCATTAAAAAGATGGTACAGAAAACAGAATATACTTACTGTTTGCCTAAAGAAACACTGAATGGATATGCAAGAAACTAATGATATTGGTTACACATTGAGGCAGGTGAAGTGGAGAACAGGATAGATGGGTGCAAGGATGGGAGTAAGCCTTCTCAATGCATCTTTTTGTTGTTTTGAATTGGAACCCCGTGACTGTAATAACTACAGAAAAATAAAATTAAATTAAAAAAAAAAACAACAAGCAAACAAAAATCCTCAACAAATGTTTTCTATTTCTTTTCTGCCTACACTGCTATCTAGGCTGGGCACCGGCCCCGGATCCCCGCATTCTGGTGGGTCAATGGCAAGGGAACAGAGGTCAAGTGGAACTTGAGGAGCTGGGGGAGCAGTCCAGGAAGGTGGCTAATGTGCTCCAGGACATGTGTGGCCTTCAGCCTGGGGACAGGATGATGCTGGTGCTTCCGCGGCTCCCAGAGTGGTGGCTGGTCAGCGTGGCATGCATACGGACAGGTCAGTGAGCGGGGCTGAGACTACCAGTTGGGGTGGACACACCTGCCAGAGTTTTGCATAGTCCACATGGTTTGGGAGATGGAACAAAGAGAACCGTGTGGAGTTTGTTTACCTCCCCTTTGCCCCACAATCACAAATTTGAGCACAAGGGTCAGATGGTAATATAACTGATGAAAGTAGGTCAGTGTGAGGCAGTAGGGAGCAGTGGGAACTGCAGTAAACTGGAGCTCATATGCCTCATCACACAGGGACAAGTGCTTCTCGACCCAGCCAGATGTTTCCGGGTGTGAAGGAGGGACAGTATTGCCAGCACTTCTGACTTTGTGATAGAAAACTGGATTTTTATGAAAAAAACAAACAAACAAACAAACAAACAAACAAAAAAACAACTTCTAATCTTATATTGTTGAGAACTAAATAAACTTTTAAAAAATTCTGAGTAGACAAACCAAACATATTTTTTTTGCTGGTTTTGGTTTAGGTGCCACTAGTGTGTGGAGAGTAATGCAATTATGGATAAGAGATCTTCATAATCAATCTACATTAGTTTCACTCTTAGACTTTATGGCTCTCACCACCAAAGCATCTACCAGCTCCCAAGGGAAAGAAGAGAAGGACAAAATAATCAAAGCAATATGATTAGCCCTTGAGGGTTCCTCCTCCTGCTGTTATGAATGGCCGAGGCAGTGGGCCATTGATCTTCCTGGGATGATTCTTCTAGCAGAGGAGGCAAAAGGACACAGTCCATAGAACTCAGAGAGCCTCTGCTGACCCTGTCTGATGCTCTTATTGGAAGGGCTGGGCGTTTTTTTGCTGATTTTACAAAAGCAAGACAACTACTTTTGGTGGAGAGCTGGTTTCTCCATCCACTGGGAACTTTCCACCACTTGAAATGTCCACCCCCTCCCAATCATGTCCCTAGAACAATCTACCTGAAATACAGATGTTTTCACAAATAATGTTTGCAAAACAGAGGGATACAAACTCACACCAGAGAGTTAGCTTTTTTATATGAACAAGTTTAGCCAACCATTTTGTGACTGGATTGTCAAAAAAAAAAAAGCAGGAACTTTCATTTCATTTTTATATATTTTTGCACAATATATAAAAGTGAACACCATTCTAGTGTATCCAGCTAGAGGAAAAGAAAGAGGCACACAGGTTTGGGGAGTTCTCCATATTCTTCCATGACATATAAGGTTTATTTAAATGAGGGCCAAGGTAAGGGAGCCCTCATACTTTTCTTGAGGCCTACTATATGCTAGGCACTGTGTTGGGCACTTTGCATGATCAAAACTTCCTTTTGGGGTATTATTTTCATTCTTTTCCCTATTACCTAAATGTCTCCAGTTCCCCCAGTTAGGCAGCTTCACCCATTTCTTTGATGTCCAAATAAAATAACTCAAGACAACAACACATATGACTATGTCAAGCCCAACATCCTCTCCAACATCTTAGAGGATACCCAAGCTGGATGTCCTCACATTCTCACATTCTCACGTTCTCCTGATGTGCGCTGATCACCTCTCTTCCAGTCTAAGGTATTGGACTCATTTCTCTTGCTGACAGCCCCAGCTGTCCACCCTCTGACTGGGCTCCCAAAGCACCACACACAACTCTGGTGGGACAGACTTGTTCTGGAAATAGCAAAAGCAGAGAGACGAACTGAAGAAACACCGTTTAGCTCCAAAAGTGTTCATGCTGGGGTTTAAATCCTGTAAAAGTTTAGGAAATAAAGGGAAGGGTAATGAGAACTCTGGTTTGGCTCCTACACCATTTGGGATTGGCCTCTTCCTTTGTTTACTGGCCTCACTCACTGGCCGTGGCAGGATGACCGATTCCTTGAGGATCTCTTTCTTCTCGTCTGTGAAATGAGAGTGCTGGGTTCCATGGGGGTGTTTACATCCTCCGTTCTGAGATACTCAGGTGGTTTTTCAGGTGTCTGATTAAAATTTGTTCCTGCTTTCCACTTCCTTATCCTTTCCCCTTGGGAAAAGATGGACTCAGCTACCTTCAGCATGGCTTTGGTTGAAGTTATATGAGTCCTGGAGCTCCCAACTATGATATCTGCCCTCCTGCCTCCCACCCCAAGAGATCCACTCTCAACACTAGGATTTATTGTAGGCTTTTGTTTGCAGGCAGGGAAAACCATTGAGCTAGGTCATCTCTAAGGCAATATAATATAATATTCGAGATCATGGACCCCTAGGCTTACTACCTCCTGGATTCACTATCCCAGCTCTACAACATGTTAGCTATGTGACCTTGGGCAAGTTATCCCATTTAATTAAGGCATAAGGGTCTGTTTTAATTATTGCTGTTGTTGTTGTTTTAATCTGCAAAATGGGTGTAATAATAGCATCTACTCTCCAGGGTTGCGAGAATTAAATAAAATAATGCATGCATAGTTCTTAGCACGTGTAAGTGCTCCATAAACATATTCTGGATTTCATTATTATCATTATTGTTACCTTTGCCAGTTCAGGCATTCCATCTCTTTCTAGTCCCTTCCTGTTCCTATCTCTGATGGGGAAATCTGGTCTGGACCTCTTCACAGGGGTCTTCCCCTGCCGTCCAGTCAACATCCCTTCTCTCTGTGATGCCAGGGGCTGTCGTGATTCCAGGTGTCTCTCAGCTGACGGAGAAGGACCTCAAATATCGGCTGCAGGCGTCCAGGGCCAAGTCCATTATCACCAGTGACTCCCTGGCTCCACGGGTGGACGCCATTAGCGCCGACTGTCCCTCCCTCCAGTCCAAGCTACTGGTGTCAGATGGCAGTCGGCCAGGCTGGATGAACTTCAGGGAACTCCTCCGGTAAGTTGGGGCTCTCCAGAGAACACATAAAGAACAGGCCAAGGCTTTTCCCCTTTAAGTAACAGGAGATGGAATGCAGCACCGATTGTTCAGGAAGAGAGTAAACCAGAAAGGAGCGCTCACTGTGGGGCCAGATGGACCTGAGACCTAATCCTGGTGACCACTTTAAGATCCTTCAAAGTCACTTGCTGAGGCAGTACTAGAATCATCATTAGCTTTTCTGGGCGTCATTTACTTCAATAATGGTGGTGGTGGTTGCAGAGCTATTAGCCAGAGTAAACAAGATAACCCATAGGATGCATTTAGGACATAGTAGGTGATCAATTAGTAATATAATAATAGCTACCATGCATTGTGTGCTTAGTGTATGCCAGGCATAGTGCTAGGTAAGCATTTACTTACATTCATTCATGCACCAAGGTGTAATGAACATCTATTTTGTTACAAGCACTGTGTTTTTAAAAAAATTTTTTTATTGTTATGGTAATCACCATACATTACATCATTAGTTTTGGATGTAGTGTTCCATGATTCAGTGTTTGTGCATAACACCCAGTGCTCTACGCAGAATGTGCCCTCTTTAATACCCATCACCAGGCTAACCCATCCCCCCACACCCCTCCCCTCTAGAACGCTGTTTGTTTT